ATTTTTAACATATTGCTCAGAATTGTGTTTTTGGCAATATGTGCTGAAAAATATAAAGACAATTTTCAAAACACACGTCTAAATAATCCGAAAACCTTCCAAACTAACACAAAAACCTGGCGCGGTTGCAATAATACTAGCAACTTGTCAAAACAGACGCTTGCTTCAACAAAGATTCGCGAAAAAGAAACCCGTCACAGCTCACTGAAATTTTTTGTTAACGTTTGTTGCTGCTCTCTGGATTTACACGACCAGATTTCACATAGTCACACATCTGCTATGGCACAATTGGCTAGCGCGTTCGGCTGTTAATCGTGACAATTGCGTACAGTTGTTAACTGAGAGGTTGGTGGTTCAAGCCCACCTAGCCCAATTAAGCCAAGATTTAATTTGACATTGGTATGATGATGTTATCTCTTTATTTTTTTCCTCTCAAGTCTATTTTTTATTGTTTGGTACTTTAGATTCTGGTCACGGGGTTTAGCTGACGTGATCTGGACTGTATCAAAGATTGACTCCAACTTGCAAGTCCAGCATTCTTTTCAATGCACCAGAATTGAGCAACTTTCATTCTTGATAACTGCTTTTGTGGCAGACCTGTTAGCGGTTGACAAACTCATTTCCGATATTTTATCCTGCTCGCGTGACTACATTGTATCAATTACTGTTGTGGAATGAACTACTCGGGTGTTCTCGAGGTCCATGAGGTCCTTGGGTGGACCCACACACGGCGCCTTTTGAACTTGCCCAGGTCCTTTCCGATGGGTCCAGGGCAGACCCCAACATATTTGTAAAGGACGGATTCCTGTTTTCATTCCGACATGTAATAGCTCAATAGTCTCCCCCCTCTGATTTATAGTGTGAGCAGTGCCTGAATATATATCTGGAATTGGAGGATTGTCGACGGGTTGAGGGTTTTTTGTTTTTTTGGAAAATGCGCGAGCGGTGAATCAATTTTCTTTTGTCAAAGTCCGCCCAAACAAAACATTGTATGTAAGATTCCTGTGTCCGATATGATTATGCTGTACTCCACTGATCGGATCAAGACTCAAGTGTGAGAAGAAAACAAATCGCGCAAAAGCTGGTATCCAGCGCTTGGGTTATAGGTCAAGCACCCTGCCCGTGGAACAGGGTGTTTGTGTTTTGTGACCACAAACAAAGAAAGGAAAACAAACGTCGGGACTTAGTGGTTGGTGATTAGCAAAAAGTAAATAAGAAAAAGTCGCTCCATTTTTCATCACCAGCGGTCACCATCTTCACTTCCCATTCTTTGATCCGGTAACTATAGACAATCCGTCGCGAACAGTTTGCAACAAAGAAGGCAACAAGTGAACCAACAAAATCACAACGCCCGAAAACCGACCCAACCAGACGGTTCCAAATTCCGAAAGTTTCGCTGCCTGTAGGAAGCATTGATGTTGAAATCTTGCGGCTATCTTGCGGCAGTACCAAGACTATATAAAAAATAAGAAGAGAGTTGCATACCACCGTCCATAACCCCATAAACACTACGCTGCTAGGTGGGCTTGAACCACCAACCTCTCGGTTATCTGCTAACACACGCAGGATTAACAGCCGAACGCGCTAGCCAATTGCGCCATAGCAGCTGTTGAAATTGGTGGAAATCTGATCCTACAAGCACAAGAGTTTGACGGTTAAAAAAAATTCAGTGAGGTGTGACGCGTGTCTTGTTCGCGCCCCTTCTTCGAAACAAGTGCCGGTTTAATCTATCTAACTGCGCCGGGTATTTATCTTATCGTTTGTTTTTTGGAATCCCAGCACTCCCTTGTGATAGTCGCGAGTTTGAATTTGAAATTTGAATGTCTGAATTTTTTATCCCGATTTTTTGGACGTGCTTTTCAAATTAGGTTGTTGCTTTTATTTCATTTGTGATTGGCTGAAAACACATATTGAAAGCCATCTAAAGCATGTGCTGGGAAGGAAACTCATTGCAGGATTCTTGTAACGCGGTCAATCAACCCTAACACAGTCACATTATCTCTATGTTACTTCAGCTCGCGAAATCGAAAAAATACGGTGAAAACATTCAAAATCTCATCTGGGACAAGCAGTGGCGCGTATTAGTCTGGTTCGTTCTTTAAATACCAGCCAGATTCACATCCACATAAAGAGTGTTGTTTTAGATTGCCCTCATCATCCGCTTCCTGACACTCACACTGTCGCTAGTTCGTTGATTGGGACTTCATATTTTTTTAGAGCGAAATTTTTTTGGTTTGGTCTTGTTTGCGATAGTCATCATCCATGTCAGTTTGGCCTACATCCTTCCCTTACGATGTAGTTGATGAAAGAAGTGAACAAAACCTAACGAGAATATAAGAAAAGAGGCAACATGTTGCCTGTGAATAGTCGATTG